ATAACCCAGTTTGAATTTTCCGATTTTTGTTATGAATCATATGGTTTAATTTTGTTTCGTCAATCTAATAAGATGGTAAATGAATATGAATTAATCAATGAAAGTTGTTCATCACAAACATCATAATGTTATGAGTCTTAATTTTGGCGTTACTCCTAAAATTTACATCACCAATGATTTGTATGTGATTTCTTGAGCACCCTGTGCCTGGATTCATCTTTGTCGAATAAGCGTTTGATTAATTCATTCCAGCTTTCTTTGTTCTTGCTTCTACTCGATGACCCAAACGACGACGACTCGCTACTCGATTTACAGGAGTTCTCCCCTTCCTCGGACTCATCGAAAGTTCCGTATTTGGAAGGTGAATAATAAGCATGGGGCACTGATAATGAAGCAGCCCTTTGCAGTGCGGCTCTGTACTCTTGACTGTGTTCTTTTGCCAATGTCTCCTGCCGTTCCATTCTCTGTTTTCCTGGGATCACCATGATCCTATCTTTCTCCAGCATCAACTAAAGCAAAATCAAGAGACAAATATGCAGAGCTTTAATTTCAAATTCTCGGAGGATGTATAAATAAATGCATTTACTTTATCGATATGGTCTCCGAGCTTTAAACTTACATCCATAGCTCTCTGAGCTTCTCTCTCAATCCATATTATAGCATGGTCCGAGGTGGCATTACAAGAAAGAACTATGTGCTCGAGCCTACCGTCCACAGGCACTGCAGTCCTCACAACCGGGGGAAATCTTCCTAATCTGCAAGAGAGATAAAAGTTCTTATGCATATACTGAGCACAGCATTTTGCTACGACGATATAAAGGAGAGAAAGATGCCAGTTGTGGATTGTTATACCTGAAAGTTTTTCGGTCAACGATGTGATAGAGGCGACCGGGTGCATATAGCCTCCTCGGATCTTTAAGCATTTTTTCCTCCGGTATACAAGTATCCGTCATGCATCTCAGACATAGTAGGCATGGCAAACTGTTTAAATCGAGAAAGAAAACAACCCGAAGTAAGCATACTTTGATTAGGAACAACAATAATGGAGCTATAACTCTCTTTTCGTTTTCCATGTCCTGCCAATAGGTGTTGTTTAAGGGGAGAAACCAGAGGACAAGGTATGCAACGACCTTTAAAAACTAGAAAGCATGTTAGGACTGACACCAGAAGCCCTATCAGCTATAAGCAAAATAAAAAAGTTTGAAATGGGTGGTGAAGTGCAACCATACTAGAAAAGTGACTTGAAAATGTCTTCTAAAGGCGTGGCTGTTCGTGGCAAGAAGTCATCCTGATGCAGCACCAGCCACAATTAAAATTAAAGACGAAAAGTTGGAAACATTTTGCAGATTTCAAATATTATGATTCTCAAATATATCATATTACCAAGCAGCATACTCTTAACAAGATGCTTTCAACATTTGGTGACACTTGCAAATGTGTAAAGATGTTCTACCTACAAAGAACACGGATTCAAGTTTTACACAGCCACTTGGACTAGTATCAGACATATCTAACCTATAACACGATTCCTTCTGGTATCTATGTCACGGTATCGGACATGATCACACCTAAAAATATAATTCACACGACTACTTCCAGTTCTATTTTCAGCCAAACGTAAGGCCAACATTAAAGGGCGGAAAAAAATTGCCTGAAGAACCACATAATTGATGACATCTGCATATCCGACTGCTAAATTCAGCGACATGCACCTTACAGGCGCAATAGCATAGAGTTTATCCTGATGCCGGACAACCACCAGCGCTAACATGGCTGCTACACCTGACCCGAGAGAATGTCCTGCAAATGTCAAAGTATAATTCGGATACTCCTCCACAAGTTCCTTTAAAACATCACACTCTGCATCCAAAACCCATCCAGCAGCTTTCAAGAGTCCATTATGAACATAGCCACCATCAAATTTCCTTTTGCCCAGCTTATTATCCAGAAGCACTTGGTAATCACTTTCTTTTGCCAAATTAAAACCTCTAATGGCAAGGACGATATCAGCATGATCATGATCGAGATATAGTATATACGAAGGAGCCTGCCCCTGAGTGTCTTCATAAGTTTTTCTGAGAATTAACCAATCAGGGTTGATCCCATATCCGCCGGGGGTTCCCAAAGGGGATGCCGAATATCATCTTCATAAACAGCTAGAATATAGCGACACATTCGAGGAACAGGCTCGAATTCTTCAGCGGTTGCAAGACCCCATGTCTCACTGTTATGGCCAGCAGTATGAAGGCACCTTTTCCACGCCCAGCGTGCACAAGCCAGACAGTAAACACATTCTATTAGCGGCAGGCCACATATAATTGACATTGATGCCTACCCTCTAACAGTGACAACAAAGAACACTGAACGTTGATTTTGCATGCAACGGCATCGAAACAAGAGGTCCCCCGAAGTAAGAAATACCAGACAAGAACCTAGATTATGGAAATTTGATTAATGATTTGAGAAATGGATGAGATACTAAATTCATATCTATTCGAGCAACAACAACTGTAAAAATTGGAGCAATTAAACAAAGAAATTCAAAGAGAAGGCAACATAACTAGTTGAGTCTTAATCATGTATTTCAACTACAAAGTTTGAGTATTCGAATTCAGTATATCAAATCGATTGCCAACCATATGCAAACCGAGACTAGAAAACGGATGAGAGCAAGTGAGGAAAATGATTGAAGGGATACGATTTAGAAACGAATAGCAGATGATGAATTACTCAAGAAGATGATTATAACAGTTCCCCTAGGATGCACTATCAACTGAATATACCAAACGCATTATAAGGGGGGGGGGGGGAAATCAAAACAGTAGGCAAGTCAATAAATTAGAATTATTGTCACAACACCATGTGAAGGGTAAAAAAACAAAGCACTCACCAGAGAGAGTGAATGATGGCTACAGAAAAAACTGCAACCCGAGGTGGCTCATGAATTGATAGCTGCATCAAGAAACCGATCTGGGTTTTTCTAGCATTAGGGTTTCAATGTCATGAGCTACTGAGTGATAAAAAATTCATCACTAAATTTGAAAAAAAAACGAACAAAAAAACCATGTGCAAATGAATAAGAAAAATTTAGAGCAGAAAGTAGAAGACTTGTTAGGTTACAACAAATGTAGTTGTAATTTCGAATTTTTGTTCTCCATGTGCAGAGGATCGTTGATAAGAAAATAACAAAAACGACATGGATGGACTTCAATTTATGGAAGGTTTAGGTAGAGACTGGGGTAATGCTGAGTTCAATTACATTTAAATTGACAGGCAAAAGGTTCAGTGTAGTAAGACAAGGCTCATCATTTGTCGGTTTTATAATGGTAAAATTAATACTAGTAATAATGATAATAAGCGTAAACTACACTGGTCATCTCTAATCTATTAGAATTTCTTTCCTTTAGTCATTAAACTTACTTTTATAATTTTCATTACAGTCATTAAACTTTTAAAATTTGCATTACGATCATTGCTATTAATTAATGTTGACATAGCACGTTAAAGTTTTTTTTTCCAAGCACGAATATAGCGACCTTGGTGATAAAGGAATTGTTATTATTTATTGAGGTCTCGAGTTTGAGCACCATGAATGTCAGGGGTGTGAGTGTTCAATGTCAAATAGTTGAGAGTTGTCTTTAAACATATATTATCTTGCACTTATCCAAGATTAATAAAAAAAAGTTTTCTTCCAAAAGAAAACTTTCATTTTTCAAATTGAACACTGAATGACGATAGGAAAAACTGCAAATTGAGGCGACAATTTAAAACTAAAAATAAAAACTTTCTTATCTGATACTGTTAACTATCAAATTAATTTGAAATCAAATTATGTTAATCTTCTAAATAAACGGATCCTTATTGATATTAATCGATGATCGATTATTGTAATCTTTGGTGAAGAAATCAATTATTGCAACAGATATTGATATGAAAAATAGTTTTTTTTTTGGTGAAGACCGCTTAAACGTATTATGTCAGCATTTTTTTAATGAAAATGACAGTAATAAAAAAATTAAAATTTAATGATTATAATGTAAATTTTAAAAATTCGATAAGTTATACTTTTTAATTTAAATATCTTTTTAGGTTTTTCTAATTTCAAAGTTAAACCCTCTATTTTTGAATTCTAAACTGTTGTTTTTTACATGAAGGCTGAAGCACGTTACTCTTGCCATCGTGAATGAGCCATCAACCTCCTAATTCAGGGAAATGTTAATGGTTCCTCACGTTGCTCAGGATTGCTTTTTTTTTTTTTTATTGTCCTTCCACTACTTAAGGCTTCGCCTATATTAATTAGGACCGACCCGAGTCACACACACCTAACTGTGGTGGATGAATTTTTCAACATAGATTTTTTTACATACACAATGACTCGAATTCTAGACCTGGTTAAGAATATCAAACTGCTTACTACTTGAACCGACCCCATTCTTCATGCTTTCCTTTTATGTTCCGTTTTAATTCCCCTATTGTGTTTTTCGGGTTCTTAGGGAGCGTTATACGAACTAAGTGGAGAACGTGAAGTTTGGAGACAGAGTCTTCCTTTTTTCACACAATTAAGGGAGGTTAAATTTTATTATTACTATTCGTATTATGTACAAATTATGAATTCAGATCCCATACATTTTTAATCGTTTTTAGTCTCTATATTTTTCAGATTTTAAAATTTTGATTTTAATTGAATCAACCAAAATTTAAAAATTATGACTAAAATTAATCAAATTAAAATATATAGACTAAATCCACAACTCATGCATAGAACAAGTATTAATAATATAATTTGACTATTAATCCACAAGTCATATATTTTTTAAAATTGTATATAAAATTTCTAGGTATATTTAAATTATAAAATAAAAATATCTTATTAAATAATACAAAATAAGAGGTTTTGGGTTGGGCCAATTCCTCAAGCCATTGTTGTTCTCTTTATGTCCTTTATTTTATGGTTCTAAGCTCATTTTCAGCCCATAACCCATATTACAAACCCTAGAAACCTAGCGTTAGCAGTCAATATATTTGTTATATCACAAGTCCAAAACCCTATTTCTATTAGCTCCGCCTCAGATATCTCGTCTTCGCAGGTACAGCTCTATTATCTCTCTAAGCCCTTACACACTTCTTTAGTGTATGTTCTCTGGGTATTTTGCTCTGTTTGATTGGATGGGAAGAGAAAGTGTAACCTGAAAACCCAAAAATGTTGTGTCTTGTGTTCGTTTATCTGATGTGCGTTGATTGTTGGGTTTGTTTTAGCTGATGTGATGTTAGCAGCTCTGATATTGTCTTACAAGTTTTGGTTTTTGTGATGTTTTTATGTGCCAAATCTAGTTTTGAAGCCCATGTTTCATGCTATTTTGTTTAGATCTTGTTCTTGAGATATTTGGAGATTAATATGCGCCTGCATTTTATCTTCCATTAAATGTTTGGTGTAAGTTTATTTTGTGGAAGTTGAGATGTTTATGGAGGAAAGTACAATAAATGAATTGTTTGATTCCTGTTTGTAGCAGGAGTTGATGATCAGAATGATCCATAGTTTGATTCTGAATGACTATTGAAATGTATTGTTTTTCATTCTTTTTTATGTTTGATTTTGTGTTTCCGAAGCAGACATGGCAACTAAGCAGCCGAATACCGGCCTCTTTGTAGGACTGAACAAGGGTCATGTTGTGACCAAGAAGGAGTTGGCTCCACGCCCCTCTATTCGAAAAGGAGTGAGCACATCTATCTTCATTTATGTATATTATTTGTAATTGGGTATAACTCAAATCATGGTCGCTTTGATTCATGTATGAGTGTTGGATATGGGGATTTGTTTGACATGTGTATGTTAAACTGTTAACATTTTCCCATCATCTTTTAAATATATTTGGTGGGTTGTATCTCTATTCTTGTTTGAATATGCATTGGACATGGTACATAAAAAATAGTGGGAGCAACATAGGAAGAGATGCTACTTAGTAGATCACCATGTTAGATCTGTTATTCTTTTTATCTATCTTTTTGAAATGCTTGTTTCGTCCTAGAATTCATGGTCCTGATTATTTTTATTCAGAAAACAAGCAAGAGAGTCCATTTTGTGAGGAGTTTAATACGGGAAGTTGCTGGTTTTGCACCATACGAGAAGAGGATCACTGAGCTTCTGAAAGTTGGTAAGGACAAGCGGGCTCTCAAGGTAGCTAAAAGGAAGTTGGGAACTCACAAAAGGGCAAAGAAGAAGCGAGAAGAGATGTCAAGTGTTCTCCGCAAGATGAGGTAAATATCGAATTACATCTCACACAAGCAACTATATTATATTGTCTTCCGTTTAGAGGAAGCCATATTGCCTGGGAATGGTAATAAATATTGTTCTTTGTGTGATGTTCCTTGCAGGGCTCATGGTGGAGGTGCTGAAAAGAAGAAATAAACCTTTGTTTTGTCGGTTTCTCCCTGTTCGCGTTTACAAGCAGCTAGAGAGGGGTTTGTTTTGCATATGGTTTGTTCTTTGTTGTTCGAAATTGAATTTTGTGTTTTTAAAACTTGTTTATTCGAATTAGGCACGAGAGATTGGAGGAAGTAATTACGTAAAAATTATGTTTTTCTTTTCTTTCTAATTTATATTTATCGCCATTGTTATACTACGTGCAAGTTTCTCTCAAATTAGATCACATATGGTAAATTGTTAGTAAGTGATGACTAAATTGTGTGAAATGCACAATTAAACAAATTATGTTTAAACCTAATGTCCGAGAATGTTAATAGTACGAGTTAATTGAACCAGACTTGTTCAACAGGTCTTGATTTTAAATTGGATCTTTAAAACATTTTAATGAAGTTCTTAAGCTATCGATATTGCTTTAATATCGCCTTGGTTATTTTAAGAATATGTTTGAGCATACAAAGTAAGCTCGGATGACATTGAATATTTTTATAATAACTTGGATCAAAATTTTAAAATATGGACACATTTGTAAGGACAATTTGGATGATATTCGTAAACATGGGTAAGGTCAGATTTTACTTTGAGATTCGAGATGAAATTATAAGCTTTTGGGAGGTCGAATTTATGAAAGTGGAATAGAATAATTAATTTTTAAGAATGGCCTAAAATGTAAATTTACTTTTTATTTAAGGTGATTAAAGGACTTAAAAATTATATCTTACTTTTGTTAAGGGCTAATGGTACTTTTTCTAAGGCGACAGTGCCTCTACTTGTAAAAGAATGGGTTGTGTAATCAGAAGTTAATAGTATTATTATTATTATTATTATTATTATTATTATTATTATTATTATTATTATTATTATTCTGGTCATATTGAAGTAACATTTAACGTCTAAACTGTTGTTAAACTGATGAAAGGGTCCAGTTTATAAATCGAATCATAATCTAGAAGAACGCATGAAAAATAGTACAGGTAAGGTCAAAATTTACATTTTATCCTTATATTATACTAATTATAAAATTAATCTTTATATTCTAATTTATTTAAAATCAATCTTTATATTTTTCAAATTTTAACGTTAGTATCAGAAGCGATTAACTCTGTTAAATAATATGATGTGGGGTTGTTTTTTTCATTATCATGTGAAACTACTCGGCTCAATTCATATAATTTTTCAATCGAGTCACTGGTAATTCAGTCTTAACAATAGAAATATCCGAAATACATATATATGCCCTTACCGTCTAAGTGATGCAAAAGGAAGAGGCAAAAGGGAAAACAGTAACTAATTTATGCACCTCACCAACGCCATGCTTTCCGCCCTCCATAAGCTCCCGGAATAAGGGGTGGTTGTTCGATATCAGAGCTCGCAAAATAAGGGGGAGAAAGAGCGAAGCCCATCCGCCATCGCGTTGTATATTTCATTACACAACCTAAAGTAAGTAAAACTGGGAATATAGATATTCCCGTATCTTGTAGTAATCCTCGCACAAGGGGCCCTCTATTACAATTTGCTGTGTACCAGAACCACCACCCTAAAACAACGAAATTTAAAGGGAGAAAAAGAGTGAAAAAACGTATCATGGTCAGTAAAAGATGATGTAAAGGATGCTAGTCAGTCTCGTTAGCTTGCGAGATAGCGAGTCAAAAATGCCAAATTGCTTACCTTCTGATTTGCAACCCCAACCTTGCGTAATGTCACGTATTCACCACATCGCAGCGCCCCTCCAGCAAATTCTACCTGTAAAGAAGCACCTTCAGATATCAAGAGAGGGCTATACTTTTCGAGATTTCGGTCTCTAAATAGGAAAGTTTGAGAACTTTTCCATTTCATCTCTATGACTTGTTTAAACAAACATGAAGAGCAGTACCTTGACACCCTTACTGGCAAGAAACTGCTTGAAATCCGACATTTTCAGATCACCTACGACCACAGATTTATGTGGCGGAGCTGGCGTCGATAGGGGTAGTAAAGAGAGCATGTCATTTTCTGTCTTTCCTACTTCAGCATCCACCCAAGCTATTTCATAATCTCCTAACTGATATTGCAGTTATTTTAGACAAAGCGATGGAGATTGAATACAACTCGAAGATTGTTATCAACGTGACAAGATAAATTCTATTTGTTACCTTTTTAAAGAGCACATTGCTCATCAGCTTCTCAGATAATTGTACCTATATTACACACAAGGTCGGAAAATGCATTATGATTTCTTCGGAAATGGTTGCCTCACCTTAAACGAAAATATATTCTTGAGTTATACCTTATAAGCACATAGATCAGATGTGACATCAATTGCTTCTTCAATTTGGGGAGCATAAACATGAGGACAAATGTGTTTCGAGCAGTGTTGCTTCAAATGCTCTGTTGCCTCTGCTGATCCATGCACAAAGACCTGAGTGAAAAAATATACGACAAATGAGGCACCCACATAAAATAGATCAAACCCCCAAAAAATTATACGGAAGAATGAGATAGCATAATAAAGGGACATATTTAAATAGGTACATATAGGGAAGTTCTGTCTGCAACTGTTCGACAGCTATTAGTGCATTTCATGCATGTTCCACCTCACAGGAACATCATCTCACATTCACGGAATAAATGGGGACAACTACATATAATAGCATGCCATAAATGCATGAAAATTAATAACATGTTGTGCAAGGAAACATTTACATGGACAGCCCATAAAGATGACGAGGCAAATATACAACCAGGAATTCTAAAAAGTTGCCTCAAGAAATATCCTTACAAGCTTTAATGGAGCCACATGAGCAAGGATTGATTTGACAGACCGACCATCCGAACGCCCCTCATAGTCCATGTAAATAAGTGAAGACTTCACTTGAACCTAACCATCATTACAGAACATTGTTCAATAAACGGAAAATTCAGTATACTGCAGTTGACAGGACAAACTAATAATTGCTGAAATGTTCATGGACAAACTCACAACCAAATCTCGGTCCAGAAACAAACAAACAAAAAATACTAAAGCATCATATTTCATATTGATGTAAGTACAACATATAAACCAAAATTAAAATTACTGGGATAGAAAAAAAAGATTGAACTTAACAATAACATTATTAAAGTTAACAGCTATGTTGCTCGGACTTTTTCATGAAGTACTTGTGTCTGACACATGGATATGGAGATATGACCTCTCAGGATCCTCCAAATATATGAAAAAACTTAGAAAAATCTAACTATACCTGAGTCGATATATACACGTGTCCGACGCCTACGCCTGAGTCTGTGTAACATAGGTTTAAAGGCATCCAAAAATCTGGAAAGGACCAATACTAGTTGAAATGAAAAGATAACTCCTCTCTATGATCCTAGACTAGAAATCCATTTTCCAGGTTTCAAACTACTTTATAATGAAAACAAATGAAATTTAGTCAAATCATAATATGGCCATGGGTGCCTTTCCTATCATTGTAGACAAAATCAACAGAATCATCAATAAGACGCATAATACCAGTAACTTATGATCAGGAGCGTAAACAAGCTATACCATGAGTTGAGCAAGAATTCAGCTTACAGTTAACTCATTAGATATGACTTTTGAAGGTGTTGTGTCAAGTATCAAACTAGCAGAGCCTTCATCAAGTTTTCCATCCATATCCCCACCAATCTGAGATGAATATGTAAAACAATTTCATTATTGACAACAATTTCAACAAACCCAAATGTCAGTAGATTAAAGATATAGAGCTATAACATTCTAAAGTAATCAAGCAGATGGCACAAAGAAACCGGCACTTACACGCATAGCTGCTTGGTCCATATCTTCATCCTTTATTACATAATCATCAGGATTTATGACCTCACCAAAGTCATCCCAATCAGAAGTATTGTCATAGAAAGGGAACATTGGGGCAACACTAGAGGATGGGGGTACAAATCCATCAATCAGAACATCACGGAATTTGCTCCCATGTTGATCTAACCCTGAAGTGTACAAGACGATAAAAAGATAGCAACTAAGGATACAAAAGGGGAGGTAAAAGATACATCAAACTGTCACAATGAATCATGAATATCCCACACAAGGATACCTCATCAGGTTGGCGAGAAACTTCTCAATGAGATAAATTGATAACAAGAAATTATAATCATCACATCTGAAATAGAATTGGAATCCATTTTCCTTCTAAAATAAATGCATATCATCAAGAATAAATGAAAATAAACCAAACCTCACTAGTTTTACTGTAAACACAACGGAGGGAACTTCTATGTTGAATGACAAGGGTATTATAGTTAATAACCATTCAAAGACATGGACTTATTTCGTGACTCTGCCGTAAGAATGTACACGGATAATGGAGACACAAAGGAAATATTTATCTAAATGCATTTTAGCAATTTAGGAGACCGCCTTACCTTTTCGAATCAATGAATATATCGGAATATCACTTTTGGTGTTCTCTTTGTTGTGAAACACCAACCACCCCCCTCCCTCATAATTTGAAGAAGAATTAACCATTCAAATACACAAGAAAACAAGTAATGCACAACAATAAAAGTTAATTGAATGCTCAAAACCCCAACATGTATACAGTTCTCAGAAGACACTTAGACCGAGTAGCTTTAGGGAATGGAAGAAGTATACCATCTAATGAAGAATGCTTATTATGAATTTCGATAACCATTGGATCACTTGAATTATCAGAAGCAAGAGAAGTTTTAGATTCCTCCTCTTTGATGAGACTAGCTTTTAAAGCTTCTTCTTTTTTCAACCGGTTTTGCTCTTCTTCATAAGCAATCAACTCCTCCCCAGTCAAAGGAACCCGCTTAGACATTGTGACCTTAACAGCTTTTGGAGGTGGATCTGCCTGGAGCATACGAGCTAATGTGCCAAACTACATATACAGGTCAAAGTATCAACTATATATTATGAGGAAGAAGAGGAAAGATATCCATTTGATCAAACAAAATAGTAATTACATGTCAGTTTCACAAGTTTTACAAATTGTTATGGTATAAACGTGATGCTGAAAAAAAAAAGGAACTTGGAGCCTTGGACAACCATGAAGCACAAAATAATTCAAGTTAAATGGCAAAGGACGTAAAACCTTTGGCCATTGAGTAAATAAACCTCTATTGGCCCACAAAGTAGATGCTCATCAACATATAAAAAATGCATGAATTCAACTAAATTTAAATTCCTACATAGTAAAGAACTCACCTGACCCCTTTCAGTAAAAAGAATGAGATTTCTGACATCTGCTGCCCATTCAACAAAAATATCATGAGAAAAACCCGCTTCCAAGCTGGCCATGGATGCTAGTACAACCTAAAAAAGAAATAAAAGCTAACAGTCAAATATATTAGGCTGAGAAGGACCATTTAGATTTGTTATTTAAGAGTGGTGCAATAAACTAACCTTAGGACCATCTGGAACTTTATCAAGTTCACCCTTGCTGACTAAAAGAGTGACATGCCTGCAATGTTGGCATAAATACCTTGTACTTAATTCTCCACCAAATGAATACAGATATACATAATTTACAGCTCAAACCGGTTATATTTTTCAAGCTTGTATAAATGATACAAACTGAGGAATAAATATAAAGCAAAGCAAAATAAAAGAATAGGACAATAGCAAGTATAAATAGTGTCTATAAGAAAACTTACTTCAGGAGAAAGGCATTATCACGTGAAGTTTCAAAGGATTTAGCTATAGCATCACTCATCCACTCAAGAAAACTCTTTGCATAATCAATAGTGCTTGATGAAACATATGTCAGAAAGTAGATGGGGAAGTTCAAAAACTTCATTGACCAGTGCTGTTTGTGATTCAGACGTTGCAATCAATAATATAGCTAACCAGAAGACTAAAAGAATCCAATTTATTAATCAAGTATCCTTACTGACCTCTTCTAAAACCAAGAGAAGTTCCAAGACACGACCAGCAGTATCGACAGGTAGTAACACATTTCCACCACCTTCTAAAGTCCTTGAAATGATGTCTGCATAAACTTCACAATTAAGTATGATGTGTGACCATAGTCCATTCGTGCAGGCGTTGGAGTGAATCAAGGCAGAAAGGATTATAGGATGGACAGAATTGAATTACACTATGACCCAATAAATTCAACATCAAATATTCAAATTACCAACAAAATCTCTGTCCCTTTCCCTTTGCGGTTTAGGAGGTTGATTGTTCAAAGCATTGTAGGCATCAGTTATAAGAACAGCAGGTCGAACAAAAGACTCCAGAACAGTTCCATTTAAATGCCTGATAAAACCAATTCATCTGAGTAAAAAAAGTTAATGCTAAAAAAGCTAAAATCTAAGATCAGATAAAAGATAGCATATATACTTCTCTTTGCGTCGGTTGAAGTCTACAGCATATATGACATCTTCTCCGTCCTTTGTTATCTTCCAAACAGTACCACCCAATAGATGGCCAGCAACATGAGGAGCAATCACAATACCCTCACCTTTTCCTAGAAGATTGTAACAGAAACAATGACAATATAATGAGAAAGTTATCTTAAAAATAGAACTACGTTGTCAAATGTCAGGCCATTACATTCCTCCAAACATATGTCTTGCGACCTTCAATTCTTGAGCTTTCATTGATGAATTAATATAGAACTAATGTTACTATAGTTCCACAACGGATAATGTAATTGAGATAATTACTAGCCAAAGAACGTTACCAGATAAATGATAGTTCTGCGAGTAGGTTAACCGAGTTACAATCTGGAAAGCAGAATCAATGTCATCCAAGGTGAACAAATCGAACTCAGATACTTGCTGAAATTGGGAGATAACATAGCATGTCAACAATTACTACAATAAACATTGGGGATCAAAACGCAATTCTCCGGAAATAAAAAAACGACGGAGATAACTTTCACCTTGCGAGAGAGATACTGATCGTACATAGTGAGAAGGCCTAATCTATAAACCGGTTCAGTGGAATATACCGGAGCCGAGAGTCCGAAATGTTTCATAGCATACGGAAGAGCGCCAAGGTGAAGCGTGTCGGGATGAGAGAGCAACACGGCATCAATCGTCGAAGCAACCCTGAAAAAAGAACCAGCTACAGTACGTTAAAGTTGTTAATCAATTGGCATTTCGAAATTTGAAGATGAAGAAGAACCTGGAGAGGGGTTGAAGAAGGGAGGGGTCAAAGAGGTCATTCCAGCCACAGTCCATTAAGAAGTTGAAGCCGTCGATTGAGACTAAGTAGGAGAGAGGGTTCTCGTTGTATACTCCACAGAGTGGGGTTATCTGAACCGACGTCCCCATTTCTAACTCGGTTCTAGAGGCCGAAAACAGAAGATTCAGGGCAAAGACCGAAGAAAACTGAGTTTCAGCCGCGGGTGACCGCTCTAGTGAAAGGCGATGTGAAGTCTGAAAGTCGCTGGAACGGCGCCGTTTAAAAGTTTTCTTTTAGGATAAACTACCCTAACAATAAATTATGGGTTCAATTTTATTTTAATTACTATATAAAGTATTTTATCAATTATGTCACTATAATTTCAATTTAATATCAATTTTAATTACTGAAATTATTTTTTGAAATTTTTTAAATCTAATCCTAATACTACCTAGAGGAGAGGGAGAAGGGTAACTCTAGGGGAAGGAAAGAAAGTACTACACCCATAACCTAAGGAAATATGAGAAAATAAATATGAACCACCCGACCAAATGTGCTTGCTCTAATTAACAAAATTATCGACTTGATAATTAATTAGATTTATATAATAATATATTTAGTCTTCATTACTAACATATTTATCAATTTGATTTTAATTTTAAATTTCTATATAACATAGTTACTCCTCATAACTTACATATTCTATTAATTTGATCTTAATTTTAGCAAAAAATAATTTTATAAATTTAACTTTCTAATAAGACTAAATAGATAAAATAAGTCTACACAATGAAAAATTCAATAGTTTTATTCCAAAATATAATAATCTAAATGAATATTCTATTTTTCCTTTTTTTTTTGCATTAACATTAATATTTTCTTTTTTCTATTTTTTAAGGAAAAAGGGAATAAAAACTTTTTAATCTCAACATCTATTTAGATTCATCAAATTATTATATTTTCATGCAAAACTAATAATTTTACATTGTAAGTGAATCTTACCCTTGTTAAATATAATTTCTATTCTCATTAAATTTTAGATTTTCTTTTATAACTACTCCAATTGAACTGATGTCACCTGCATCTCTTTCATATATAGCGGATGAAAAGCTCTAATATTTTACCATAAAACTGGAAAGGCAGAAACGGAAGGCCAGAACATTTTAGAGCAAATCGTTGGTCTGTTTCTTGTTCAAACAATAGGCTCACCATCAGGTTCGTTTTCTGGCTTTCATTAGGCAAATATATCATTGGCAAAGTTGGATTTCATAAAGTAAAACATTGAATTGTTGATTATATTACTCTAGTTTTCGACACCGGAACATCCAAAAGGTTCCGTCAACCTAACGAGGCATTGTGCTGCGGGGAGAAATGGCTCAGACTTCTATTTGCCTAGCCTTGTCATTGAAATTTGGCATGGTTCCTTCCCATAATTCAAGTAGCTCCTTCCTTAACCACGAGATGAAAATTACAGGTCCCAGCGTTGAAGGTACCTAAGTGTAAAAGATCAGAGGATGCAAGTCAAAAACAATGCAGAGGTGCAACAGGCATCCCATGAACTCAAAAAACTACAACGACCGTTAACAGCTTTAATAAAACCGAGTTGGATTTTGCTGGAGTTAACAAGAAGTTTCAATAAGCTGTAATGACAAATACCAGATAAAGAAGAGCGGGTTGAGGCGAGTGTGTCAAAATGCCGGCTGCAAGTGCGGTTACCAGTCCGACAGCATACCCAGGAAGGGCATACAATATGTATTTGTGCCCCTTTGAGGAATGTAAATCTAAAAGATTTACTGTTTCCCTACTCTTTCGATGATCAAAACAGAGGACTAATGCTAGCAGCATGGCAGGAATGGCCTACATGAAGTAAACAAAGTAATTAGGAACACTAATAAAAAAAAATAAAGATGACACTAGCCAAGAAAGTAATGTGGAACTGGTACACAACGCTACAATGTTATTCTCAATAAGTCACGTGCATATGTTGGAGTGTTAGTCTCTATAAAAGCATGAATAGCAAATAATATGCAGTTTTTCAACAAGTACATAACATTGATCTCCCTCGTGCCAGAATAAAAGTGTCGTCTGCAAACCAGAATTGTTTGAGAGGACATGTTTGTTAGTTCCTCCGATAATAATCATGCCAGGAACAAGAACAATAAGAATAGACTTCTCAAGCTTGAAGATGATGATTCAAGGTTAAATGCTAGTCCAGTAAGTGTAACAGCGGGCGTGCAAATATTCAAGAGCATTGCATGATACACAGCATGGCCATATAAAAAGAGAAGAATGGGCGTTAAAAATTCAACTGTAAATGGAAAATCTCAATGCAGAAAAAAATAGTACTGTGCCCAGTAAACTTGCCCAAGTGATTAATCCTTGAGCAACATAGAAACGGGTCTGATTCATCAGAATATTCTCCATGTTCATTCATAAAAGAATTGAGATCAAAATCAAATGAAATGCAAGGATACCTACTGATTTTATAAAATAAGACACCTTCAAAAGTCAACAAAAACTACTTTCTCATATACTGAAGAGAAAGGCTTTCATACCATATCACCAAGACCAAGCATCATGAAGTCAGCTGAACTTCCACCAGGGGATGCACCACCCAACAAATTCCTTGGGAAAACAATCTTTACAGGCAATTCTAGTTTTTTCGTGATCAATTGTAAGCCAGGGAGACTCAAACTATTAGCAACAGTGTGAACTGGGTTTGAAGCTTGTTGTGTTGCTACTGACACCATGACATTAGCCCCGAAAAATCTTTCAGAGAAGAAAACCCAGAATATGTCATACACAAACAAACATACTAGAAGCATCGCACATATTTTGATGTTCGGAAGGCGCACATGACTGACAAATGCAATACAGATGGCGATACCTAACAAATTGTTCAAAATCCAATGCCCTGAAACAAGCCAAGATGCAACCGTGAGGATGCATGCCAATAACAATAAGCCCTGTATTCTTGTAAATGACTTTGAACAACACCGAGACACAAATGGGTCGGCCAAACCAAAATGTGACTTCAAATAGGCAACGTGAGGGGATAGACAGAAGAATAAGGATGAAACAGACGCAATTGCTGTGAATGCAGCCAGAAGTTGCGAGACGGAAGAAAAAAGGTAAAACATCAAAAGTAAGCTGCAGGAGCTCATTATTGGGATCATTAGTGCTTGGGACCTATCTAGAGTAATTGATGCTTCTGACAAGTCATGATTCCGCTCCATTTCTTTCCCATAATTCAAAGCACGAAATGCAGATCCAAATGTCACAGCCACTGCCGTAAGTATGAGAGTAAGCGGGGCAGGCTCAAGTAAATATAAAAGTTTCCACAAAGAATCCATGACTAAGCACGCAACTATTTTTGATCAATTGTCTGAAGTGTGTCTTTATGCACCTAAATCGAATACAACACAAGATGAATCTCGAGAACAGAGTTGCACTATTTCTCTAAAGAAAACTATTAGCAGAGAAATCCATGCAACCTGCAAAACAATTACACCAAACAAGATCTATTAAAATACATAACAAATCAGGAGAAACATCAGTAGCTATATCAAGGAAAAGTGAATCAACTTTAGCCCCCAGATATTATATATCATGTGTTCCTTAAAAAAACAAATGGAAGATATAAAAGAGAAAAGATTTTAATTTCATTGCTGTGTTATAACTGATACTTTCTAAATCACAAATCTCTAATGAGGAACTTTAAATTGAAGAAAGGCAAGCTAGAAAAGCAAAAGATGAGCAATCCATTTCTTGAGTCTACATAACCCTAGTATCCCCATCTTCCCTTTAATTCTTTTTTATAACACTCTTTCCTCTGATTTGCATGGAAAATCTCAAAATACAAACAGAAACACAAACAGAAACAGGTTGATTACAATTCCAACAATTTTCTAATTAAACTAACTCAACTCCTTAATCCAGTCGCATTCAAGTAAGAATTGCATTTCCGTCTAGAGAAACCAGTTAAATTTACATCTCATGTCTATTTTCCGTCAATTTATATAAAATTCCCTCAAAAATTCAATTTTCATATAAATATAAGAAAATCACAGTAAACAAACAAAAACTGAGATGAAATGCAAAATCTCCATTACGTTCACAGCTCATATGGAAGATCAAGAACCCCATAAAACGGCTAACAATCTAGAGCGCAAAAAATTACTAAAAAGCTATAAAATAAATTCATAAACAATATTCTAAAAAAAGTAGAGATAAGATTTGATCTACATACACGCGGTGAGTAAAGATCTGAACAAAGGAAACGTAAATAAAACAAGATAAAAAATGTAAATTAAGGAAAGAGATATTTTGGAGAGGAACAGCTCTGATGATGATCATTAAGCTCTCTTTTTTCTAGTGCCAGGCGAAGGAATTGAGATTTTGAGTTAATTTGCAGAATGCCCCCATTATTTTCATGTATTTGTAATTTGAATCAACGTTGTTTTGAGATTTCGCTTGAAAACTAAACAGGGGAAGCACGGACATGGGTATGTCGGTAAACGAACCAAACGCACACGAACATAGATATGTTCATGTTCGTTCATTTAATAAATAAACGAACATAAACGAATAATTTTTTTTTTGTTCATGTTCGTTCATTAAGGAATATAGCTTGTTCATGTTCGTTTATTTAATAAATAAACGAACACAAACGAACGAACATAAACGAACAACACAAACACAAAAAAAAAACTTATTCGAACACAACAAACGAATGTAAAAAAAAGTAAACAACAAGAATAACAACTTAAAATTCATTAATATATCCTACAACTTTAGAGTTAATTTGTTCGAATACGACAAAAACATACATAAATCATAAATAAGCTATATGAACATAATAAAGTCTTAAAATTAATTTGTTCAACAAAACAATCTTCTTGAAATCCAAACAACTTCAATAATATGCGTAACATATTCAACTTGCCCTCTGTTCGAACATAAATGAACGAACATAAATGAACGAACATATAATCGAACGTTCACGAACGTAAATGAATGAACGAACCATTTGTTCATGTTCGTTCATTTAATTAAACGAACGTAAAATCTTATTCATGTTCATTCATTTAATAAATAAACGCACATAAACGAACTTCCCGCCGCACGGTTCATGAACGGTTCGTTGAACGTTCAGTTCATTTATGGGGAGGCCTAATGTGTGGTAGCCTTAATATACGATTAAGAAAAGATATTATTATAAATGTTAATATTAGACGTTACCGACACGGGTGAGCATTAACTAGGCACAACTAA